CAGGCTCCAGACGAGGCCGGGGGCATCTGCAGCCCAGCTGCTGTCAGGGAACCACGAAGAACTCCCCTGAAACACCCCTCGACTTGCAATACGAACACCTCTTCTGCTCCCAAGCCCCGACCAGCTCCCCACGCAGAGCCGTCTGCCCACAGGCTGCACAGAACCCTCCGGGGGCTTTGCTGCTGTGACGCATCGTGCTGAAGCCGCTATGCCAGGTGGCAGGATACGGCCGGTGGATGCAGGGAGACGCAAACTCACAGAAGCTCCATGGTCAGCCACTGTCCCTCACCCTTGAGGCTGCGCTGGGACAGGGTGGCCACTCCTCAGGCACCCCCTGCTCTGGGCCTGCGGGGTGCAGAGTGGCAGGCTCAGGAGATAAGCCAGCGCCAGGCCTGCAGCAGCCTCAGCCCAGGGTCCATGATGCAGGTGACAGAGGGTGAGACAAGGACGGCCCCAGACAAGGGGACTGTGTTCTGTGGCAGCATGGCCACGCGGCTGCCATCCTGCTACGCAAGTGCAATGACACTGACCTCCTCCCCACAGCACGCTGGGACCCAGCACCACCAAGCAGCCAGGTCCCCTAACTCATTCACTCACCCACAGCCCCGCTGGCCATAACATGTACAAGGCTCACGTGACATGCAAGAACAAGCAGAGCTTTGGGCCATGGGGGAAGTGAGGCGTGGCTGGAGTCCCCGGGCCAGCAGGATGCTGGTTTTGAGAGCTGTGCTAACAGGATATTCTGGGACTTCGTAAGACTTACTTGCCTCACTGCTTTGCACTGCACCGGACCCCCACAGCACATGGACAGCTCATTCCTGGATGATGATTCCCAGGTAGGAATGAGGCGAGACTTTGTGAGGTCTTTTTTTGGACCAACCATACAGTTGGGACAGCTGTCAAACAACCTCTCTCACTAGGAGGGTAGTAAAGCACTGGAACAAGCTACCCAGAGAGGTGGTGGCAGCTGTGTCCTCAGAGGTTTTCAAGACCTGGCTTGACAAAGCCTTGGCTGGGATGATGTAGCTGGGGCTGGGGCTGGCCCTGCTTGGAGCAGGGGGCTGGAGTAGATGCAGCCTCCTGAGCGCCCCCCACCCTCATTGCCCGTGATTCTGAGCGGGCTCTGACCCGGCAATGAGGAGGGGCAAGGAAGAGCCAGCGGAAGAGCAGTAGAACAGGCCATCTGGTTAATGGCAATGAAGACCATTCAAGAAGGGGGTAGTTATTACCTGTGAAGTGCAAGGAGGTGACTGGCAGTGTCTGTAAGGTTGGAACAAGCCATGAAGTCACTGTCTATATTAAGACCAGACATTTTACTGTCCAGTAGGATTATGAATTTCTGTTCCCAGACCCATCTTCTAGAGATGTGTGAATTCCCTTAAGTACAAGGATGGGACACACACACACACGCTGTGAAAAACGTGCTCCTACTGGAATTCATCCTTTGTATTTTCCGCAAGAGTTCATTCATAGATTCATAGATTAAGGGTCGGAAGGGACCTAGTAGATCTTCTAGCCCGACCCCCCGACAGGGCGGGAGAACAACAAAAAAACCCCAAAAAGAGAAACGGGACTCAAATGAGTCCAGCCAGGTAGGCATCCAGCCTCTTCTTAAAGACCCCCAGGGTAGGGGCCAGCACCACTTCCCTTGGAAGTTGGTTCCAGCTCCTAGCCGCCCTAACTGTGAAGTAGTTTTTGCGGATGTCCAATCTATACCTCCTCTCCATCAACTTGTGCCCATTACTCCTTGTTATGCCAGCGGGCGCTAGGGGAAACAGCGTCTCCCCCAAACCCTTCTGGTCCCCCCTAGTGAGTTTATAGACGGTCACCAGGTCCCCCCTCAGCCTTCTCTTGTGGAGGCTGAATAGGTTCAGGTCCTGCAGTCTCTCACTGTAGGGTCTGCCCTGTTGTCCCCGGATCATGCGGGTGGCCCTCCTCTGGACCCTCTCCATGTTGTCCACATCCCTCTTGAAATGGGGCGCACAGAACTGGACACAATACTCCAGCTGTGGCCTGACCAGCGTCGCGTAGAGGGGGAGGATCACCTCCTTGGCTCTACTCGAGATGCACCTGTGGATGCATGACAAGGTCCGGTTAGCCCTGCCAACCATGACCTCGCATTGTCGGCCCATGTTCATCTTGGAGTCAATAATGACTCCAAGATCTTTTTCGGCCTCTGTGCTCTCGAGTAGGGAGTGCCCCATTGTGTAAGTAGTTCATTCTGGTTCGTGCTGGAGGATCGTCATCCAAGGAGAAATGGCAGAGACCTGCTCTTGCCCCCAGCACTGCTCAGTATCGTTAGCAAGAATCTGAAGGAAATAGAAAGCAACTGCTCACATCATCTGCCCCAGCCCAGGCAGCAACGCACAATCAGGACAGGCCCTTTGCACGGAGCTAGCAGAACCACTGAGGGCTCAATGCACACAGATGATGCATGTCTTAGCACAGATGCACGTCTGAGGTCCCTGGCCAAGAAGCAAGGCAGGCAGGTGGTGTGCACGGGACAGGACTGTCTCCTGGAAAGAAGCAAGTCCAGGACTTTGGAGGCACAATAGAGCCAACTAAATGTAAGCTGCCAGCGCAGAGCTGGGACGTATCCGCCAGGGGCCATCACGTGAGAGCAGGGAGGGGAGCTCAGGAATAAGGTGTCAGCAAGACCTGCCTCGATGTGGGGCAGAGTGAATTTTAGGAGAACAAGGAGGGAAACCAGGGCAAGAAGAGCAAACACGTGAAAGGAAGGGAGGAAAGAGACGAGACAGTGGCAGGAGAGGTGTGGGGGCAAGTGGGAGTTTGGAGGTCAGGAGGGCATCGGGCCAAGGCAGTGGAAGGAGACAGGCAGCAGCAGCCAATGTCACGGCCAAGTCAGCGCTGGGGTAAGGGGGGCGAGGAGGCTGCAGCGCATCAGACTGAACTGATCTCGTGAAGAAGGCAGGCGGTGTCACGCAGCAAGAGGAGGTGACAGGGCAACAGCCTGTCTGGCTCCACAGGACCTGGCGAGCCAAGTGGGATGTGCTGCAGGCATGGAAGAAGGAGCTGCAGGCAGCAGCAGAGCAGAGCCGGAGGTGGTGACAGCGAACAGGTGGCAGAGACCCACGAGATCCTTGGCTTGCCTGGAGGGGTTTGGTGCACAAAGCAGGACACAAGAGCCCAGGACTGGCTGGGAGCCACGCCCAGGGGGCAAGGGTCACCCCTTCTGCATGTTCCTGTGCCCCTGCTGAACCCGAGTGCTCTGGTCTTGTCAGGAGCCCCGCCAAGGCCCGAGAGCACCAGGAGGCACTGGTCTGTCCTGTCCCCTCCCCTCACCCCACAGGCCCTGCCTCATCAGGGGGCACCGCGCAGCCCCTCCCACGGAGCAGATCAGCTGTGTCCAGGAGGGGCCGGGGAGCAGGATGTGCCCTGGGGAGGGGGAACCAGCTCCTCATCCCTTCAGGTCAGACACCTCATGTTTGCTCCAGCTGGCTCTTGTGTCTTTGTCCCCCATCCAGATTTCCCATCATGCCCCATCTACTGACATGCACCCCACTACAGCCTCATGGACCCACACGCCACCCCACAGCAGCCCCAAGCCACATGCACTCACAACACGTGCTCACTGAACACCGGGGTGTCGGGAAGCAGAGGTGCAGGCAGAGAGCAGGATGGAGGCAAAACACCCCGGGAAGGGGATGGGGGCAGAGCCCTATGGGGGAACGGGCATGGGACAGGCTAGGCTGCCTGGAGTGACCAGCCCCTGCAGCACATGCAGCTTGAAGAGGGCAGCAGGAGCCAGGACCTGGTCCATACACGCAGGGCAACGCTATCGGAGCGGACAGCCAGCTGCAGGTCAAACAGAGGGGGCAGCACGGGCTGGTCAGCAAACGCAGCAAGGTCCCATGGGAAAACCCTCCAGGCCACCAGGACGTCACGTCTAGTCCAGCCCCTGCTCAGGGCAAGATCACCCTGTCTGAGCCACCCCAGACAAGGGTTTGGCTGACCTGCTCTTAAAGCCTCCAGGAACACCCCTGTGCACAAGGCCTGGAACATCAAGAACACCCTTCAAGCTCCCCAGAGGAAGCAGAGGGACACGGGCACAGCCAGCACCTGCCACCGCAAGGACAGGAATGGTTAATATGCTCACAAGATCGGAGGAAAAGGGCCGTGCCCCTACCACAGAGCAATGCCCCCCCAGTCTGGACCAGTGTGACCGGTGGGAAATCCCTTCCTGTCCCTAGTGCAGTATCAGGCTGAGCCTGAGCGCAGGGACAAGACCCTCTAGCCCAGGTCCTGCGGGGTTGGTGCCAGCAGGAGCACTGGCACAGCCCAGTCCCTATCCCCAGCTGGGGCTGCAGCACCCAGCGCCTCCAAGGAAGGTGAAAAACTCAACAGCCACAGCAAGAGCAGAGGGGGGAAAATGTCCTTCCTGGCCCCATGATACAACCAGCAATGGCAATGCCCAGAAGCCTGAGAATCACCAAACACCCCCTGCTCTGCAGCCAGGGGACACGGACACACCTCCGTGCGTCACCCTGACTGGAGGGACAGGACTCCCCTTTCTGCCATCCTGTCCCCAGCGTAAACAGACCCTGCTGCTCCAATCGTCCTCTGTCACGGAGCCCACGGTGGAGCCCTACTTTACTCTCCTGCTGCCGAGCACAGTCCTTTACACCCACCTGCTTGGGCTGCTGAGCTCCCCTCACCGTCCCCAGGTGACACACGGGTGGGGGCTTCCTGGACCTCACAGCACACTCTACACCTTGCTGCTCTTGACCAGCGCCTGTCTCTCTTTGAACACGTCTATCCCATGGCTCCCTGCTGACAGTGAAGACGTTCTTCCTGAGAGCCCATCTAAACCTATGCTGCTGCAGCTTCAAGCCACTTCCTATGCTTTGCTATTCAGCAATGGAGAAAAGGTGTCCTCCCTCTTCTCTGTGGCAGCCGTTCAGATATCTGAAGGCTGCCATCATATCCTCTCTTAGTTGCTGTCTAAAATGCAACAGGCAAAGGCAAAGACAATGGGGCTGGGGCCCATTTTGGCTTCTTTTGGGGTGAACAAAGTGGCTGGAAAGTGTCTCCTCCACTCGGCCCTACTGCAGCCCACACGCTCCAGCCATGCACAGGTCAGCGCTTCAGCCCCGTACAGCCAGGACTCCTCCGGCGCCCGAGCGCCAGAGGAGATGGACCCACCACAAAGGGCGGGGAAGGACTGGGACAGGAAACTTAGACTGTTTAACATTCCTCATGTTGCTCTTAACAGCCGCTAAACTTTGGTGACATCCATATTCTGGATGAACACCACCCATGTTAAAAATTCGATAGCCTCACCCCTTTCACTGTGCACTGAAATCTCATGACAGCCATCCCACCCACCCTTCCCACCACACCATGGTCGGCCAGACTTGCCGTATGTTATTTAAATGTCACGCACGCTTTGTATAAGCAGCGTGGGCAAGGTGACGAGAACCTGGTGCAGCGGGGCTGCCTGGGAACAAGAGGGGGCAGCTCAGAGAGCATCCAGACGTTGTTATGTGAGCACCGGGATCAGCAGGGGCAGTGCTGGCTGACCTCACATCAAGAGGCTGAAGAGATCAGGGCTTACCTCAAGGGGAGAGGAGGAGAAGGAGGGGAAGGATGCACCAGACGGGGGCAGGCACGGAGAGGAAGGCAGAAGCTCGTACTCACATGGCCTCGCGGAAGGGGACAGTTAACAAGATGGAAAACCAGCAAATTCAGAAGTGAATCTCATGATGCAGCTGGCCTGTGGACCGTGCTGCCATGGGATACCAGAGCCTGGCAGGACTCAAAGGAAGAGACATGGCCATGTCAGACCCATCACAGCAAGCACCAGCAGGACAAAGGGGAGGTTGAGGAAGGCAATCAACACCCACCTACTCCCAGAGCCAGGCCGTGGCTCAGCAGCTCCCAACTTCTTCCGGGACGACTCCCCCTTCCCTTTGCAAGCCCCACACCTGCAGGTGAACATCTGTGGGACTCACCACCCCTGGCTTGGGAACTGCTGCTCTTACTACTGGGAGCTCACTGGAAACCTCTCCCGCAGGCAGCCTGTCCCATAACGAAGGCAAGGGCACGTCTGACCGCTGCTCACAAGGCCTGTGGCCTGGCTCACTTGGCCTCCTAGTCCAAGAATCACGATGGAGAGGGAACGGACAGGCTGACACATCTCAAACAGTAACTGCCAAGGGCGGGATGCCCAGGCATGGGGCAGCTGCAGTGAGGCTCTGCAGGGGCTGGGACTAGCCCTCCTCTCCTCAGCCCCAAGCTGCAGGCACCAGTAGCATCGCTACACATCGAGGAGGGTCCTGGAGAGCAGCAACTCCCACCAGGACCCGGGGGTCATAGCAAACAGCTCCGCAGGTGCCACCCATGTGCTGCTGTGGCAAAAGGGGTTACACTGCAACCCTTGGACAGGCAAAGGGGAAGCAGGAGGTGGAGTGTGCTTCTCTCTGTACGCAGGCAGCACTTGTAAAACTAATGCTGTGATGCAGCCAGCCGCCCCGGGGCCCAGGCTGGGGCAGAGATGCTGAAAACTGGGGAAGGAGAAGAGAGATAAAAATAGCTGGACAAAAAGACTGATGGCAAGAGACTCAAAATGCATTCAATCCGTTCAGTTTATGAGAGAGCAGTGATGGGGCCCAGGGACATTCAGGCAGGAGCAGTGGGCGTAGAGGCAGAGCCAGAACCAACGGCCAGCAGCTGCAGCCAGGCGGCTCCCACCATGCCAGGTCTGCCTCGCAGCTCAGTCTGCAGAGACTGCACTGGCTGGAAGTGCAACCTCCCAACCCCGGCCCGGTACAGCTGTGTGGGTACAACCCCCCAGGCACAACTGACCCCAGCCATGGCTTGACACTGAGGCAGCAGCACAGACAAGCTCTTTGCAATACGGTGCCTGTTTTCAACAGCCCCAGAGACAAACCATGGAAGTGGGTGCCAAGCAAGAGCCTGGGCGCTGTGCTTGGATGGCAGGGTGGGATGCAGTCGCCCGAGACAGGCAGGCGGCCAGGCTGGACTATCTGAAGATCCCTGCCAGCCTTAAACTCCACGGAGCTATGAGTAATCACCTACTCTGCATCTTCCTCTGCAGCAACTGGTCCTGACCACTGCTAGTACAGAGAACTGAGCTAGCTGGAGCACGGGTCTGACACAGACCAATCATCCCGACATCCTCCCGAGGGGCAAAGCAAGAAAAGGAAGAATGATAAACTGTGCAGCACTTGAAAAGCGGCAAAAGCAAGGCTGAGCCCTTGTTCCCAAGTCATCCGCAGGCAATTTTTACAGAACATTCCCCGTGAACCA